AAGATTAATTTTTTCATCATAGTTGAGAGACTGAGTTACAAATGATTTAAAAGTTGAAGAATTAAAAGATTAATTTTTTTAATAAAAAAAGACTAATAAAAGAAATGCAATTATCCCTCTATCGGGGGGGGGGGGACAAGAAGAACATTCCTCTACCGGGGGAAAAAAGGATAAGAAGAAGAAACACAACGATCATATGGAACAAGAAATAAAGGAGATAACATCTTCTAGCGATAAAAAGTGGAGACCAATGGATTGCACAGAAATAAAGAGTTAATCATGATATGGATTTAATTTTTGTAGTCAATCGGGATCAATTGTTGAATTGGTCGTGTAATCATTCTCTATATGAACAAGCTTAAATCTTTCATTACAAAATCGTCACAAATTAACGAGGACTATTTTATGCAACATATTGACAGCAGGAACAAATCATTGTTGAACAAATCATGCTAATTTTTTTAAATAGCTTTATTTGGTGAAATTTAGGAGGTGTCTCAACAAAAGTAAGTAAAGTTATCGTATATTACTTCCTTCATTTTAAATTATATGATACTTTTATATCAAAATTTTACATACTCATAAATTTTATTAAATATACTTAACAATTTTATCTTTCTTAAATAAAAATATAAATTTTAAAAAATATCCATTATTTGATATATTAAAAAGAGAAAGAATATGAATTAATTATAAAGAGAAAAAAATAAAATTAAAATTGATGTATTTAATGAAATCTTAATCTATTAAAAATATTTTATCTTTTAAAACAAAAAAACTCCTTTAAAAATATTTTTTTAAATTATTTTGAAACGGAGGGAGTACATTGTTCAATTCAACTTGCCAATGAAAAGATGGACTAAAGCATGAGAATAATAAGAAAATAGCTTGGAATAAACTTAAAGTTAATTTTGTCCTGCAAGAAGGAAATAGTAGATGCCAAATGATAGTATGTCTCTTAAATATGTTGAAATTGGCTCCACTCCTTATTATCGGTGATTGTGAATAATCGTGCAAAAAATTAACAAAGAAAATAACAAATAAAAAAGATAAAAAATACTTGACGTTATCTCAATGAACTGTCGAATTTTTAAACTTATATTTGACAGTTATTTTAAAATAATCATAAAATGCATCTCTTATTTTTCATAAAAAATATATATATTAAATACTTGTTTCTAAATAATTATTAAATTTATGTAGTATATAATGATCAAGGGATCCCCATCCCATACTTTGATGCAGGGATGGACCTACACGCATAATAAAGGCAGTATTTCCCCCCACTAAGACGGGGAAAAAATAAAAAAATAATACTTTGAACAATTTTTAATTAACACCCCTAAAATTTTCAATTGCTCCACATCCTAAGAAAATCACATCTTCTTAAAATTTTTCATTCCTCTCCCTAAAATTTATCCAATTCAAAAACTTATTTATATATAATAAACTTAAAGGGAGAATGTCGATGAGAGCCTTTAGAGAGAGAAAAAACAGTGAGGGCCTTGAATAAATAAAAGTTTATTCATGCAGGTTCATTGATTGACTTATGTATATATCAACATTCAATCATTCAAGGCTCCCATGGCTTTTTTTCCTCTTCTGAAGTCCTCACTGCCATTCTCCCTAAATAAAAATAGCTTTAGAGTGGAGGAAATGTTAATTAAAAAAGTAACTTTGTCTAATTGTATAAAAAAAAAAATATCTCAAAAAAATTTTATACAATACAAAAGAAACTAGATAAATTTTATTTAAAAAATAATAAATTTTAAAACATTATTATTTTCTAATATGTATAAAAAATTTGGTTTTATAAAGACAATATTATTTTGCCCCTGTTGATTAATTTTTTTAAGTCCATCACTGCTCCGATGGGTTGATCTTGACATAGATGGATTTATGAACCAAGGAGATCAAAGCTTCCTATACAGAATTATTCGTGATATGAAAAGGTAATTGGATTGAACTTGGATATCTACCGAGCACTTCAGTTAAAATTGGGCTGTCATTCACCAACATGTCTTCAAAGAAGCTAATTCACATTCCAACTGGTTGGCTCACAAAAATAGCTCATCACCAAGCGTATAATTTGAACATAGTTTTCACAAAGAAATAAAGATAGATTTCCCCTTACTAAATTGTAGGAATTTTCTTGTAGGCTGGTGTCCACGTGTAACAGTCTTTTAATACCGTAGCCACTTGTTCAGGGGGGAAAAAAGGACAGATTTTGCTATCAAGAGATGAAGCTGCATTCTGCATTCCAACTTATAAGAGACGTGGTCAACATGCCCTTTAAAAAATGACAACCCCAACATTTGTGGTAAAGCAATCGTCAACATTGACCTTGCAACGTCCATTCTACGGAGTTTGTCTGCCTGTATTTCATGAAAAAATAAATAAATACTCTCCAATTTTATTTATAAATTACTTTAAATATATTAAAAAATTATCAATTAAATGTACATATTTTAATAACAATGATCCGTAGTGTTTTCAAGTGAATTTGCTTATTTCAAAAAAATAAAAAAGGTGAATTTCAGTTAAGGACCTGAGAAGATACTTAATTTTAGGTGAGTTAAAAATATTTAAAATTTTATTTCAATCTAAGGAAGAAAAATTAAAAGAATCTTGACTGTAAAAAGACTAAAATATCATTCATGTGTTATGTAGAATTACTGGTTGTTAATTTTCTTACTGCATTTGTTAATTTACTAAGATTACTTGTAAATTACACCTGTTTGTCAGACAATTAGTAACATTAGTTATTAATTTACTAACATCAATTGTAAATCACAAGACCTTTTAGTAATTCACAATTAATATTAATAAATTACAAGACTTGTTAGGAATTTATAACTATGTTAGTAAATTAATAAGTAAAGTTTGCAATTTAACAACTGATATTGGTGCTTATGATTGAAAAACTTATATTGCAAATTCTATATAATTATTGATATGTCAACTCATGTAATTTGTAACTCAAATTCGTATATTAACAAGTGAAGTAAGAAAATTTATAACTAATAATTTTGTATAACACGTGGAGGGATTTTGGTATTTTCATAGTCAAAATTTTTTTGACTTTTCTCCCTTAAATTAAACTAAAATTTTATAATATTTTTGGACCCACATGAAATTAAGTCTCTTCTTAAGCCCTTAATTGAAATTCTCTCAAATAAAAAAGCCTTACTCTTTAGAATATCTGTTTTGTGTTTAGTACTATATGGTTTCACTGAACAAGAACTCCAAATAATTTTCTTGAAGTTCATCTTTTTCATCACAAGTGATTAGGTTGCCCTAAAATGACTTAGCCCAATGGAAAAATCTCAATTCATTAGGCCTTTCAACACAATCAAACAAAAGGCTCCAGTGACATCATATTCTAAGAGTCCAAGCTATGTAATTAAATAAATCCTCCCCTATCTATTATGGCCTGTGAGTCGAGATTTCTTCATCTTCTTCAAACTTTTAGAAAAGTAAATATATGTATTGATTGATTAACTCATCAAGTTTTTATTGAAAATTTTGAGAGTTGTAAAAATTTTTTGTACCATGACGTGAATATTCATGTCGGATATCACGGTTTACCTGGCCATTCACTCAAAAAAAAGCAAAAACTTTTATTCATATTTTTTTGTAGAGAAATTTATGATTAACAATGGAATAAAATCCATTTTGAATCACATTTAAGAAATCTTCTTTTATCAATATTTAATAGAAGGTAACATAAAAAAATTACAATAAAAAAATGATAATGCGACATATAAATTAGATTAAAAAATTGTTCTTTCTTCGTCTTTTAAACAGAACAGGAGGGAATAACATTGCCCCATTGACAATCTTTCCATTGCTGGCTACCCAATATTCAAAAAAAGAGTCTTTAAACTGCATTCGTGGAACGTCAGTACCGTAACCCTCTCATGGAAAGTGAGCTTCCTTGAAATCCACGCACACATGTCTTTTTTGAAATAGTATTCTCTCCCAATTATAATATAAAGTATTTTTTTGAAATACTTTACTTGACATCATATAGTTTTTATGATTATTTTTTAATTATATTTTTACTTTGTAAAATATTTAAGGAGGGTATAATTTAAAATATGTAAAACCTTTTAAGAAATTAAAGTTTCACCTAATTTTTTTTAAAATTATAAAGTAGCTACCAATGTCATATTTTAACATTAATTATTTTGATTAGGTCCTGAGATTGTAATTTTATCCTTTCTACATATCCAAAATTCGCATTATAACGCACATTATGTTATATTTCATCTTGTTTAATTAATATAAAACAAATGTCTTTGAAATTCTAATTGCTTGCTCTGATATTCAGCTAAATATTTACTTTTACCAAGGAGTTGGAAATGTTAAATTTAAGATGACTTAATTTATACCAGTATAAGCCTCTGTTTGGATGCGGCAAAGGAAACAAGGCCAACGCAAGAGTTATGAGATGAACTTAAGAAGTTGGTAAATATTCACCAACATTTGTGAGTTTTCATCCACTAATATTTAACATAATTAAAATACACAATAAATTGGTGATATTATTGAGAGGTGATGACATACAGGTTCCCATTTAAAAAAACCGTTTTAATGAGATAACTAAATTTTTGATAAATTTTCTTAAAAATAAGTACCAATAATATTTAAAAATCATAAATAAAATATTTATATTCAAAATGAAATCAATTTATAATTTTCTAGATGAATATTTATAGGTTATTATATTTAAAAAAAATAACTGTGATTAAATTATTTTTTTGGACTTCAACCGTTTAAATAGGAAAACAATAGAAGGAGAGAAAGTTAGAAGAGAGAAATAAAAAAATAAACATTTTTCTATCATAGTATTTCACCCCCTCTAATTTCCTCCGTTCTAAGAGAAAACTAGAAGAAAAGAAAGGTGATTTTTTTTTTTTTAAATTATCTTTCCCATCTTTCCCAATTTTCTCCCCTCTGTTCTGTTTCATTGTAAAGGCAGAAAATGATGACTACGTGACTAGAATGAAAAATCGGCCCGAAGCGACATATGGTTATTTTGATATTCTATCCTCAAAATCCATAATCCCCGCCATCGACACTGGAGGCGAGAAGATAGAAGCTAAACATCAATGGCGCAATTGCTATATCTTGGCCTCTCTTTTCCCGCGCAACCCCACAAAATTTCTGCTTCTTCTTCCAAGCCCCTGAAGCTTGTTGAGTCAACCCACGGGTCAAAGATATCCATTTCAACAACTAGTAAATGTAGCTCAAGTTCCATAAAAAGAAGTCATTTTTCAAATTCTTGCTTCTATTTAGTGAATGAGAATTATAGTTTCACTGAATTGTTTAGCTTCACCGCTTCTCTAGCTTATTACTACTGACATTGACTGAACTCCAGGTTCTGCCAATCGCTTGCTTAAAACCCAGAAGCTGAATTTAGAGGTTTCTCCTCACAGAGCAGGTGTACTCGTCTTTCTCTCTATTTTTCTCTGCTCTGATACCACCGATTCTTACTGTTTAGCTAGAGTCTCGCTGCTTAAGGAGATTGTCATTTGTTAATTAGATTCATTCCTTTTCAATTCAATTTACCACGAGCAGTATCGGCGGTTAGGTTAATGAGGATAGAATTTGGAGGTGCTTTTGCTGACCTTCTCAATGAGAAAGGGAAAGGCTCAGGTGAGAACGAGATGGCATATGTCGGAAGGACGCTTGGTTTTCGCACTCGGGAGTTAAATGATCAAGATCTCAGGCTGGTTATAACTTCCACTTCATTCTTTTGTACACTGAATACTATTTAGTAATTAGACTGAAACTAGGTCAACTATTTTTAAACCTAGCCAAAACAGTTATGTAATCGTGGATACATTAAGTTCTTATTCTGTCCTGCAGCATTCATGATTCATTGTATTGATTTTTTTTTTTCTTATTCTTGTTTTATTTGTCAACTAAGGTTACAGACATTGTGGGGGGCACAATTCGTTGGAGAAGATATCTTGATCATTTGATTAGTTCAATAAGTCACGATAAAGATATATCTAGCATGGAACCTCTACTGTTGCAGGTGGTTTAAGGATCTGTACTTCTTAAGAGCATGTTTATATAAGCCATCTAATTATATGAAAATATTATAAAAGTAAAAAGGATAGACAAGAATATTTTTGATCATGGCTCTCTCATGGTTCACTATTATAAAGGTTTTGTAGGTGAAACCATGGAATTTGTCAAACGAAAACCCTGAAAAAACCAGAAAGTTTTTCAGCGTAATCATCCTTTATTTTGGCATGTTTTACTCTTTGAACACCTAGTTACTTATCTTAATACTTTTTTATTCTCAGATTCTACGGGTTGGCTCCTATGAGATTGTCAAGCTAGATATGCCACATTATGCTGTTGTAGATGAGGTATTTTTTTTTATTTTTTTTTGGTTTTGGTAAATTGTACATGAGGTATTTTACTCGTTCATTTGTGTATTGTTTTCTAGGAGAATAAATTAGGTCATTATTTAAGCAGATATCAGAAAGCAAGTAGCACTTCGATTTAACAGGATTCTTATTTGTTGAATTTTTGAATTTTTGCTGATGTAGTCTACTGCAGGAAGAGATATTTTGATAATTACATATTCATTATAGGTTAAAAGATCAGCTTGTATTTTATTTTAATAAATTATTAATTTCCAGTTGTAAAATCAGATAGCATTTTAAGGTTAAATTAAGTTTTTTGGCCAGTTATATGACTGGCTCAAAAAAAAAAATTTATGGGGCATTAGTTATTAACACTTTTTGTTGCTACAAATTGGTGATGAATGAGTTGGCTAAAAAGTTTAAATCTTTTTAAGTCTTGCCTAAAAGTTTTTTATACCTTGAGATCTGTGTTATATAGCCCTCTTGATTTGCTCTTGTATAGTCCTTTGGCTTTCTATTTTCTCACTTTCCATCCTTTTTTAGCTCAATCGTTTTGTGGCACCTGTTATGTGGAATGCAGAACGTGAGGCTTGCCAAAGTTGCTCTTAGGCCTGGTGCTGGCAACATGGTCAATGGGATCCTTCGAAAGCTTGCAGTGCTTAAGGTTTTCTTTCTGCCAAGTTATAAACTGTGGTGAAATGAGTTGAAGACTATAAAGAATTTATCAATTTCACAAATATTTGGCGTACAGAAAAATGAAAGCCTTCCCTTGCCCAAAGTGGAGGGTGATGATCGTGCTCAAGCACGTGCTCTTGCTACTTTGTATTCTCATCCAGTTGTGAGTTCGTGATTCTCTCATTTCTTTGCATCACTTATGGTTCTAATCTGGAAAGTATAGAATTGGAAACCCATAGCTTATGAGGAATCAAAGGATTTTTTTTTCCCTGGTCAGCATTACTACTAGTTCTCAGTATCTCTGGATTAATTATTTTATTTTCTGCAACTTTACCATACTCATTAAAAGCTATATCATCATATTTTTATTGGACTTTCCGTACTTCTTACTATTTGTTTACATCATCATCTGGAAAAGGTGTATTAGCATTGGATGTGCAAAATATCCCTGCACTTCAACTTAGAAATTTCAGAATTTTATGCTTAATACATTATTTTCCCATGTTTATACCTCTAGTTCTTTCTAAATGGGCCCGCATTACTATCTAAATATGTTTAGTTTTATCAAACTTGTGCATGAGAGAAACTAAATAGTTTGAGTGCTGCTTCTTCTCCCATACAACTTGAATCAGTTGTTAACTGTCAGGGGATTTTTGTGTAATACAGAAGGTTAGTTATGGTAATGGAGACTCTAATGACCATCCAAATTAGTGTTATATTAAGAGGGTGAAAAAATTTATTCATAGGTTTTTTAATAATATACATTCTTATAAAAAGGGAGGCTAAATTTGCATCTTATTATTTCTTTCATAGTGGATGGTAAGAAGATGGACAAAGTATCTTGGGCAGGAAGAAGCTATCAAATTGATGATCTGGAACAACAGTGAACCCAGTTTCAGCTTGAGGTTTGTGACTGCTTCTTCCTGTTTTCTCTGCTCCCCCCAAAATAGTACAAGGCCTCTGACAGAGCAAATTAAGTATTCAAGCTCTATGTTCATGCAAACTTTAGGGCAAACCATGCAAGAGGATTTTCAAGAGACGACCTTGTGACACAGCTTAATGCGTTAATGGTACTACAATTGCTCCGTGATTCCACATAATATTTCTCGACATTTAGAGTTGTGATTAAAATTTTACATTTCTTCTCTGAATTTCCTTGGAATGAATTCCTCATTCCCTATGGGGCGAGACTAAGGTTTCTGCTATAGATCTGCATGTTATAATCGTAATATACCCACTGTCCTTGTGTAATCTGTATCACTTCCAAGTTTAAGTCTCTTTTATTGAACTTCAGGTCCCGCACAAGCCTTCTTTGCATTTGGATGAATTTGTTCGTATTAAAACTGGATTACAGGTATGACAATGAGACAATGAGTTGATGATAAGGTTGTTTTCGTGTTTGACTGTCTTAACTGGGCCAATAACTTTCTGAGGAGCCATAAACTGATAAGAGGAGAAAGTCCAGAGAGATGAGGGTAGGAATAAATGAAGCTGGTGGAGAGTAGATAATGAAGAAAATTTCTTGCTTCTAATAGACAGTTGATGGGGCAGGACTTTATATACTGCATGATTTCTACCTTATACAATAGCGTAGAAGGTTTATTTGATAGTTTTATTTCTGCCTCAGCTGTCTACTTTGGGTATCTACTTCCTCTTTCTCCCTTTCTTCCCCTTAAGTTCACGTTGGAGCCAAGTTGTCCTTCAGGTTCTTGATTGTTTTTACTTTTTTCCTTACAGGTTGTCATGCATGCTGGTCTTCTCAGGAAGGGTTTATGTTCAGTTCAGGATGAGAGTGCAGGTCAACTTTTCATCTTATCTAATAGAAAAGATGACTATAATTTTCAAGCTTCTTTTCTCTCAGAACAGTGGCCTTTGCCATAGTTTGATGATCTATTAGAAATGATCAGCTGTAAATGTATGTGTTTATTTATAAGTAGGTTTGTAGATTTTGCAAAGGTTTTCATTTTGCTCAATATGCCACCCTCTTTTTTCAGAGGTCAAACTTGATGGGATATATGTGACCCAATTTATTGGTTAAGAAAGAGAAACTTTAGACGTTGGTTTTTCTTTGAAAAATATTCTTTCAAGCTTGTATCCTCATACAATGGATTGCACATTCTCCATTGCAGGTCTGGTAGTTTCTATTGTGGATCCTCAGCCTGGGGAAATCATCGTTGATTGTTGTGCCGCTCCTGGTGGAAAGACTCTGTACATGGCCTCTCTCTTGTGTGGTCAAGGTATCATTAGCTCTAATGAAAGAGATAGAAAAATCTGAAAACCATGTAGGATTTCTTTTAATTTAGAGAGTATGTATGACAAACTTTTTAGTAATTGTTTGTTCTCCATAAAATAGATCTATCTTGAAGAATTTTAATAATTTTCCTCTCCAAGTTGGCGCTGTGTCCATGGCAACCAGAATTATTTGCTTCATCTCTTTATATATATCAGAGTAGTTTAAATTTTTGCCCATATATATGCCCCAAATATTTATTGTCCAACTGCAAAATACTAGCTACTTCAAGATATTACTCTCCTTCAAGGCATTGAAAACTGGACTGGTTATTGAACTAGTCAAGGCATTGGTTCAAGGATTAATTATTAAAATTGTAGTTGAACCGTGATCAAACCAGTCACAAATCATTTTATTAAATCGGTCAATACACTGGTTTAACGGTTTATTAGTTCAACTGGGCAGGTTGACTTGGATTTTCATACTATGCACTCCTTAGTCATATAAGCTGTCTTGTGGTGTGTTCTCAATGATCTGATTTGACTTGCTGAGATGTTGAACCATAAGTTTCCCTACACCCAGCAAATTTGAGTGTTAAGAGGAGATTATTTGTTTGCAGGTATGGTGTTTGCAGTTGATATAAATCGTGGTAGATTGAGAATTCTTAAAGAAACGGCAAAAATGCACCAAGTTGATGGTGTCATTACCACCATCCGCGCTGATCTTCGTCAGTTACCTGTAAGTTATTAAACTTATATTTAAAAGCCCAGAATTTGTTTATTTTTATTAAGTTGGCTGTCTATTGAAATTCTAGGATGGCAAACCACTTAAGTGCAATAAAGTTTTGCTGGATGCTCCTTGCTCAGGACTTGGTGTTCTTTCCAAGGTATTATATTAAGCATCTTGCAATTACCTCATGTTCCAGTTTCTTTTCTTGCTGATAAACTTTTTTTTTGTTTTAAATCTTTGGCTCTTTAAGAGAGCGGACTTACGTTGGAACCGGAAGCTGGAGGACATGGAAGAATTAAAGAAATTACAGGATGAGCTGCTGGATGCAGCATCCAAGTAAGGCCAAAAATTTTCTTTGATGTCCTCTAAGCGTGTATTAAATCATCAGAGGTGCACGGATTTGTAAAGATATGATTTCTTTTTCTTGATAGCCACTATATTGAACAGAAGCAATGGCAAAGAATCTGGATTTATGACTACAGATTAGGTTTAGGAAAGCAGTTGTTATTTGCTCATCATGAAAGTCAGTTCTCGTTTCGAAAATTGTCTTTTATGAACAGCTGAATGAGAAGTGTTATCAATTAAGTGAATTTTTGAATGAAGAACTCCGCATAATGGTGACTATTAATAAGGTTGGGTAAAGCAGGGGGATCAATTCATTGTTATTTTCTTTCGTGTAATATCTTTTTGCTTGTGTAGATTGGTAAACCCGGGTGGAGTGTTAGTTTACAGCACGTGCTCCATAGATCCTGAAGAGAACGATGAGAGGGTGACTGCTTTTCTTGCAAGACATCCAGTAAGTTGTCATTGTAGTCTTTATCTTCAGATACTTCATTTCCTGTTTTCGGATCCATTTGGCCTTTGTACTGAGTTATCCCTTATTTTGAGTGTTTTTAGTGAAGTTGTGTTTCTTGCATTCATGATCATGATAAATGACTTCTATGCTAGCTGATTAAGTGCCGAGTATTCTTGAGCTGCTTGTGAAAAGAGAGATTGAATAATGTGCTTGATTCAGGAAAGCTGTTAATAAAATAAAATAATGGACTATCAAATGCCTTGGCTATCTGTAACCTCTTTTGGCAAAACTAGTCACACTTGGGTTTCTATTACGAGGTTATAACATAAATGCTTATTTACTGTTCTACATGGGGTTCAGGATTTCCGCATCGATGCTGTAGACAGATTTGTTCCACCTGATTTTGTGACAGACCGTGGCTTCTATTTCTCCAACCCAGTAAAACATTCACTGGATGGCTCCTTCGCCGCTCGATTGGTTCGTGATTCATAAAATTAATCGTGGCTACCGATCCTCAGCATCTCCATTGTCTTTCCTGCACAAATTCAGTTCAAAATGGACTCCTAGTACCGCATGCTGCTAACAAAATACGGTCCCGATCTTCTCTCCAAGTCTTGCAAGCACTGCCTCATGCACTGAATCAGGCAATTTCCGTCTGTGGGGTTTTTCACATTCAGAGCAGGAAATCTGCAATTTCTCCCAAAAGTCGTTTAAAAACATATGAATGGTTTACATCCCAAAAGCACTTCATTTTTTTTCCTGGTAATCAAGGGTGGGCTAAAAAAAAAGAAATCATCAATGATGGCACTTACCTTGTTGAAGATAATGATCTCAAAGCCAGTATTGAAGTCAAGAGGTATACAAAATTAACAAGGTGCAAATTTCCTCCATATTCTTGTCTAATTTCAGGTTAATTTTTCCTTCCCGTCCAAAATATAAGCATTTTCCCTCAGTTAATTTTAATTCAAAATATAAGCAACCTAATTCATATAAATTTTTTCCCTTATTTTACCCTTTTTATTTATTAATCTAGATCATTACGTAAATTTGTCTCTCATTTATCATAAAGTGTATTGGTAAATGAGACTAAGGGTAAAAAAAGGAAAAATATATATATATTTTTTTTATGAGAATGAAGACTTTATTGATATTCAGATTTTTTCTGAAAGCTGCTTGTATTTTGGATTGGAGGGAGTATCTAACTTCTACTGGCAAATTTTATGGGCAATGGTCATATCATGTACACTTTTGCTCCAGTTGCTTGATAAAGTTTTTTAATCCTGGATCCGGTAGATTGCTGGACTCCAATATTTTTAGAGGACCTTATGAAGAAGTAAACTGTTTAATGGATGTAAACAAAAAATGCTACTATTGTTCATGTAAGTGCTGATTAGTACAAATACATGACCACTGCTTTTACTGGATTCCAATTAAGATTGGTACAGCTTTTGTTAATGAAGTTGCTACTGATTATATGACCACAAAGTTGAGAATGGATGGTTGATTTTAAAGTTTCAAGCTAAGCTTGTGATTCTAGTGCATGCCAAGAACATGCATGGCAATGTAGCATGACGATCCAGAGCTTGTGATTAACTAGTGTGACTGGTTTGAATTCATTTCTTGTACAAAGACCATTATTCTGTTTGATTGAGTTCATTATTTATGATGTCTTTCCAGTTTCCCATATGCATGTAGTCATTATTGTTTAAATCCATTTATCATCATTTAACCAAGGAGCATTGGACACGGAAGCAAGATAAATTTGAGCTCATTTTAAATAATTTGAAAAGTCAAATCGTGTCTTCCTTAGAATTTAGTTATATAGCATCTCATAAATAGATGTCAATAGTTCTTTTTCTTTCTTTTTTTCTTTTTACCTACATGTATTCTTCTATTGGAGGTAATCCTATTGTCGGGCATTAACTCCTTTTAAATGTAGGTTTTTGGAGTTACATAAAGGGAGAGTTCAACACTTCTTACTTTTGTATAAATTTTATCCATACTCTTTTAATTAGCCAAAAGAAAAGAAAAAGAAAAAGAAAAATCGCTTACGGTATGCATGTTCAACACTTGTGAGATATGGGCCCAATTTTTATCTATACATAATGCTTCCTTAATGTGTTCAAGCTGTGATTTTAGGTTTCAACATCCTTAAGAAATTTTCCCTCAATTGCATGGAAGAGAGTTTATTGGTTGTTATATGGCCCCATTAGTCCTCCTGATTGGCTACCATTATCAACTATCACCAATAGTCATTACTATCAATTGCTAGCTTGCTACTCATCATGATCCATCACCATCAATTGCTACCATCTAACCTCTACCAATCAACTACTATTGTCACTACTTTTTATTATCAATCATTGTCGATTGCCACCGTCTATTGATGGTTGTAGTCAATCAGAAGTGGTGGTCGAAGGTAGCTGTGGCTAATGGGGATAGTGAGTGATAGCTAGTGGCAATGACGGTGTAATAGGCAATATTCGATAATAATCAATGAAAGATGGTGATGATTTGAGAGTGTGAGATAGATAGATATATATATATATAAAAGGTTAAATGGCAAATTGATTTTAAATTATCAATTCAAGAATGTTTAATATCTTAAACTCATTTTTAGCTTAGTAGTCCCTTACAACTTTTAAAAAATGTGTAAAATGATCCCTATCATTAATAAAAAGTTAACTTTAAAAGTTAGTTAATTAAAAAAGGATTTCAAAAATTATTAAAACATATTAATAAATTTTTTTGGTTATTTTTTGAGTCTTTGGCTTTAATTTTTGGACTCTTTTATGTATTTTTGTTGCCTTTTTAGTAATTTAAGATATCTAATATATTAGAAGGAAGTTTTTGGGTTTGATATATCCTACGCAGATGTAAGTGTGGTTCTCAATTTGTCTTCATAAAAAACAACAAAAAAGGAATTTTTATATTTGAAAAAATAAGTTATATTATTACATTTTTTTAATCATAAATTCCTCTTTTATCTCATTAAATATTATTGAGAAAAAGATACAATATTAAAATATTTATATTTAATAAAGATAACGTTAAAAATTACCTGTTAAAAATAAAATTTTAAATAAATTTAATGAGTTTTAAAATTTTATTAATTTTAATATTAAAAATAATTTATGAATAAAAATTTGAGGGAGTAAAGAGAAATGAGGTGTATGGGATCCATACAACCCAATTATTTATATTTATCTCCATTCTCTATATTACCACCGTGGCAGTGGCAGGCTAGCAGCAGTTGGCATTATCAATAGTGGCAAGTGCATTTCATGGGGAAGAAGAAAGGAACGGTTGTTGAATAAGGCTTGAAGCAGTACGCATGTCCTCTACGTGTCATGCTTTCTCTTTCATTTCACCATCTTCTCTCTCCTCACAGCTCATGCTCATAGCTCACACCTCATCAATCGTCCAGTGGCAAGTGTGTGTGTTGTGTAGATAAATAAGATATTCTACTTTTTAAACATATTTTTACGTTTCTATATATAAAATATTTTTTTAAAAGCTTATTTTACTTTTAAATATAAAGAATAATAATAATATTTTTAAATAATTAAATAATTTTATTCTTATCTTGAAAAATAGAATAAATCATTAATTGTATATTTTTTCTATTACCATTATGATAAATTATGATATTATTAGGGATAAAATTAAAAAATTATTGTGTTTTTAGGTGAATTCACCTAAATAACAAACCTTCATTGATATGTAAAATTCGGTTAAAAACATTTTATATATAAAACCAGAGGGAGTATTTGTAAATGTATACTTCAATTCCAAATTGAAACATTTTTTACTGTCTTATATTGATTCAAAATATAAATAGTTTAGTATTATTTAAAAAATTATTATTTTACTTTTTATATTTATTAACATAGATTCTCGTGTTTGAATTTATGACGTTCTTTTTACTTCATCATAAATTGAAACTAAAAATAAAATATAAAAAATATATTTTTATAAGAATAATAGTTTTATTGGTATGTGAATTATTGTTAAAAAGCTAAAATCTGTTTATATTTTAGACCAGAGGGTAGATGTTAAAAATATTCTAATTATACAAACATCCTCTAAGAGGCAGGAACCAGATAGGGAAACAATTATTATAAGGTCAAAATAATGTGCATCAAATAGTTCTATATGCTGATAAATCTTTCAAATTTAATAGATAGAAGATCTAGATGCTACAGTCTAAAGAAAAAAAAAAGCATTTATTTTGGCAGATAGATATACTAAGAAGGGATATATATAAAAGCCATAAAAAACTGTTGAAGGACAAATTGGTGATTGCGAGGAATAAAGAGGTTGCAAAATACATTGTACCAGTTTCTATTTATGTTGAAGGATCAGCAATCGTGAGGAAGAGATAAGTTGCCATTGAAATTAGGAACATATATTATTTGAGAAACTGCCAAAAATTTGTAACAAATTTGTTACAACCACCAATGATTCTGTTTCTACTTTTCCTCCTCCGCTGTCCTAATCATTTGAATGGTTCCTATTTAAATTAATATTTTAAAAAGTATCTAGCTATATTGTTTTTTATACAAATATTAATTTTATAAAAATATGTATACATAAAATTACCATAATTTCCTTAAATTTTGATAAGCTAATCGCCTAATTTTTTTTATATAAAAAATATCATAAATAAATAAATGAAAAAAAAATAAGTCATTCAAATTTGATTTAACCTTCAGTAGCTGTTGCGATGGAAAAGTTAAAATAAAAACAATTATTTTTGGACATAAAAGCCGCTGCGATACTGATAAATTAAATAAAAATACTACAGTATTAACGGGCTGAACTGGTGAGCCGGTCAAATGAACAGTTGCGTCTGGGGAACCAACTTGATGGTGTGTGCAAGAAAGGCTGACTCGTCGTTTATTTTCCGCTCTCCATCAGTTCTTCGTCTGAGATAAAGTTCTTGGTTTATACGTTTGTCCGATCTTCTAATCTGTCGTTCCACTTCTTCTCTCTTCTCGATCTCATACTCAATTATCTCATACCCGCCTCTTTCGTCCTCTCTGTAATTTCTGATTTTTCTTCTCTTAAATCAGAATATCACTCATTTTTCCAGATTTTCCCCACAATGATGCGTCAGTATTGCAGCAGATTTGTGAACGGACTGTAAATGAATTAATACATGATATGCAGGTGAGTTGATCGGAAATGATGGCGTTTTGAATATTATGAGATTACAAGACTGTTATATATGCATGCATTGAATTGTCGATCAGGAGCTTGAAATGAAGTTTTAGAATATGGAGGCGCATGCATTTAGATGTCGTGATTCTAACAAATAATATGGGTGGCTTAGGATGAAGATGATGATGACGATGAAGAAGATGATGGATGATGAAGAAGCGAGGAAAGATGATAAGTACGTGTTGACAGAAGAGAGAGAGCACAGCCCGGGAATGGCTCAATGATGCGTTTGGCACTGCTGGGAGTGTGCTCTCTCTTCTTCTGTCAACAATTAATCTCTCTTCTTTTCTATTCCGTTCGTGATTTCAATCACAATCACGAGAGGTAACTCGATCTCAAACTAATTAATTTATCATTATCGGTTTTCGTCAATAGATTCTCTTTCCATCTCCGAAAATATTTTTTAAGTTTTCCAGTGGTATATGCCTTAGATTTGGGGTTTTATTTGTGATTCAAAAACCCTAAATTGAATTTGGGTTTACACATCTTAGCGAGTCGTTACTTTTAAGTTCAAGATAAGCTTAACAAGGAATGTTATTGGTTCTAATATTAAAAACTCTTAGATACATCAGTAGTAGTGTTTCATTTTCATTTGTAAAATAAATTTTACCTGACCTTCTTAATAATTAGCTAGTCTTTTTGTGTACAAGCTAAGAAAATTTAATGTGTTTTTTTGCCAAGCCAAAGAAAATATGATTTTCAATCAATTAGTCTTATTTTTTTTAAGACTGTGTGAGGCAATAAAATGTAATCCTGTTATTAATATGATGATAAAATATCTATAAATTGATTACTATTTTGAAAGGTAAAACTATAATTTATTTTTTATTTTTTTTGGTAGAATATAATTTATTTTTTCATATGACGAAAACTGTAAATAATTAAAGAATTGGACATTTGAAATATTCTTGATTAAGAGAACTCTGAAAAAGGTCTAGATAAGAAGCGTTTGTTGAATTAAATTCTTTTTTATTGTTTTTAGTTAGGGTGCTTCATGATTCTAACAAGTAGTATCAAATATTGTTTATATAAAGATTAGCGGCATCTGAACTTGTTTATGTAGGGACTCGTGGTACCGAAACATATTTATATAGGGACGAATTGTCTCACATCTTTCTTTTAAAAGAAAAAAAAAAAAAAAAGCACAAGTGATATCAGAGCTTTTTATGAAGGGACAAATACTATTAGAGCTTATTTATTCTCTAGGAGAAGTATGTGATTTGCACTATTCTTTTTTGTTTCAGCATCTTCTTCATTACAGTAATTGACCCATACAAAAAATGCTCATTAAAAAA